ATATAAATATAGAGTTTAGTTGAATAGATGCTTTCTAGTTAGAATAATAGTTACATCTATTTATTGGGCTAGATAAAAGTTGACTGATGTCTTTGCGTTTCGCTGAGATGGTTGCAAGGTTATTATGATCCAACTAATAAAAGGTATTAGTAAGAATAAAGTTAAGATAGTTACTTTAATAAATAAGTAGTTATACTAATTACCTATGCTTGTTAAAAACTAATGCAATTAATTATATTTTAATGTGAAATACTGTTTATATATCGCTTTGCCCACAGCGGGTTTCTACTGTTATATGCCCTCAAACTGTCCTTTGAGCCACCGGAGGTTTGGAAATGTTACAAGTGCTAGTTGTTAACGATTGTATTAGCAGAAGTTATGAATTTTAATTAAGACTGCTTTTTTTTCTATAGGAGATAGTTAAATGTGAAAACTGGAGTATTCAGAAGATAATTAAATTAATTATTTTAGTTGAGAAGACAATACATTTGTTCTGATTCTACTAAGTGGGGGGTAGCTAAAACATTTATTTTCTAGTTGAGGAAGTTACATCTCTTAATTGGGATAATTTGGGGGTAATTATGTAAATATATTACTTTTAGATAAGACGATTATAATAATTGATATTCTATTAGCTGAAAATACTAGGTTTAAGATATGACAACTACTTTTTAGTCAGGATAATTACGATATTTATTAGATGTTATTCAAATTTAATTACGTTCTATTCCTGTATAGATTATTTGTTTTAGAGTTTAGTTATTTAATGGTCCCCCGGATTCACAACGCTAAAATCAGGGGTTCGATTTCCCTCGGTGGACACAGCTGATAGTCCGATGCGGCTTTGCTATAACAAAACACACACACACACACACACAGTTATTTCATTTATTTTTATAATCGCTATAACTTGCAGTTGGGTCACTTATGTTTTCATTGAAACTACGTAACTTTCTAAAAACTACTAATCTATAATAATACAATAAAATATTGAAAAATAAATATGCTTAATAAAACAAACTATTAGTTCGTTTAAAAACTACAAAAATTCCGATTAAATTAAATAACAGCAATTATTTTTTAAAAACATAAATCATCTAAAATCAGTTGCTAAATCTTATTGTTTGGATGATTTTTTCTAGCTTAATATCCCATTGCTTCTTCACTGTTAACCCTTTTAAAAGCTATTATTTTACTCTCGCTTTTCAGTGCGTAATCACAGAGCTTGTGCATATTTTTGTGAAGTGTTTCGGAATTATTTATGTTTTTGACTTATTCTTTATAGCCAAACAATTGTTTTGCATGTTATGTACACGTGCATTCAATTTTAAAGATCTTTATTATTTTTATTTTTACCACACTTATTTCAATTCTTTTATGTTTGGCGAGTATTATGTTCTTGAGATTTATTATTTGAGTTACTAACCTACTTTTTCACCACAATATGTTATTTTTAATTTGGGGTACATACCGTAAGATACAACAGAGAGTGTGCAAACGTTTTGGAGATTACGAAGAATAAATTAGTAGGTTTTTATATTCTGCCACTGAGGCAAATATTGAAATAAAACATTACATTTGAATTATGAATTATATATGAAAACATATTTCGAATACAATTATCAATGTATGTTGATCAATAGTGATACGATATTGAATAACTCTTAGAAGCAAAAAGAAATAATTCCAGTAATGTTATGTATGACTTATGTATTTTGATCAAAAGTGAAGAAATTACAGCGCATCGTGAAGAATGTTTTAGCGAAAGATTACCTGACAAAGACGTGGAAATTTTCTAATAAAAGATCACTGGTTTCAATTAACTCAAGCAACTTTAATAACATAATTAAATTAACGTATAAAAATTCTCATTGTTGGCTTTCTGACGTTAAGATACAAAAGTTCTGCTTTAGCACACAAAACACGCTGAATCACGTTTTTCTGAAGTAATATTCAAACCCTCTAGTAACTACTATGGTAGTATGATAACGTCAAACATGTTTATGTTTATAACGTACTTTACAACAGTCTTCAGCAAACAACTGAACTACACTGACTGACAAAGAAATAACCTATATACGGGGTATGACGGAGAAAAGTATGACAGGACAATCGGTCAAATGATTATGAATCAGCAGTTCACTTTTCAAACGCCAGGAGCGTGACGAATTGTTTATATTTGCATAAGACTTTCATTAGACAATGACAAGGTGGTTATGAAAGAAAATCTTATCAATTCTAAACTGCCCTAGAGGCGCACGTTTAAGTGTTGCCGAAACATTGTCACCAAAACCATCAAAGGCTAAACGATCGAACAGGTCTAATATAATATTGCACATAACATCCGGTTTCTGCCCACAATATTAAGCATGCAACTGTGCTAGAAAAAACAAAACAAAAAACACACTGGGATTAATCAGTTAATACATCAGCCTAGAAACAAAAAACAAAAGTGGAATGGATAGACGCATACTTACAAATACACAACTTTTTTCTCGGTTGTTATATAAGTCGCAAAAGTTTCGGGTCTTGAAGAAATAAGAGTAGAATATATTTGTCTTTTAACCTAAAAGCAATGGCCAAAGTCGCAGTAAGTACATATATATATATATACATGAATACACAGTACTTATTGTTCGGGTTTAATGTATTCATAAATATATATAAAATATTCTCATTTGGCTTTATTTGTGTTTGTTTGTTGTTAAACACAAAGTTACACAATGATTTTTCTGTGTTTATCATTTTTTCAGCATAACGTTTATGTTGTTGTTCAACATACGCAGTCACAAATATTCGATAATCTTACTTATATAAAGATTATGTTTAGTGTTGCTTTTCGGAACTTACCACTTATAATTATAAATAAGAAAACAGGATAAATGAAGTCTTGTTCAGTAGGTGAAGTTAATACCACTTCTAATTAAAAAGAAGAAAACAGGGTAAATGAAGTATTGTTCAGTAAGTGAAGCTAACACCACTTCTAATTATAAAGAAGAAAACAGGGTAAACGAAGTATTGTTCAGTAAGTGAAGCTAACACCACTTCTAATTATAAAGAAGAAAACAGGGTAAACGAAGTATTGTTCAGTAAGTGAAGCTAACACCACTTCTAATTATAAAGAAGAAAACAGGGTAAACGAAGTATTGTTCAGTAAGTGAAGCAAACACCACTTTTAATTATAAAGAAGAAAACAGGGTAAACGAAGTAAACGAGGTATAAACGGTTAGCTTCACTTACTGAACAATACTTCGTTTACCCTGTTTTCTTCTTTATAATTATAAGTGGTGTTAACTTCACTTACTGAACAATACTTCGTTTACCCTACTTTATTTTTTAAACTGATTTATATATATATAACTTTATATATTTAATAACTTAGAAAATTGGAAATTGTAAGCTATATGTTTTAAGTAGTAAATATATTTTCTGTGTCGTTTTCCATAAGTGTGGAACTCTCTAGGTACTTAAAACTCAACTTTAATTTTTATGTGTAAAAATGTGTTTTATGCAATACGTATAACCTAGTTCAACCACGTTTTGCTTACGTCATCCGCAAACGTTTCTTGTCCCTATCTTTTATCGATCCAACAACCTATAGATACTTCCAAATATTTTCTCACCATCCTCATTGCCGTTAGTTTGCTTCTTGTAAAAGACACAAAGTAAGAAAAATACAGTTTAGAATAAGATGCAATAGTTGAGACAGGTTGATTTATTTGCAGTTTATTGTTCATGAAATAAACGGGAGAGGTGTATGGATTTTTAAATATAAACTGAGTTCTTAGACCAGAAAATGGTTATATTAAATAAGTGTATATAATTTCTATACTTGTTACTTCTTTTTTAAGCCTGTGACATGAAAACTTCTAATAAAACCTTATCGTTACATAAGGTTACTACATGCAGTAATTACTGATTCTTACTTCGTATTCAGATAAAAACAATCTAACATTAAGTATAAGTCTAGTAAGATTAATATTAACCGACATATGCCTAAGTCGTTAGTGAAATGAAACTTTTACTAAGCCTAACAAGATTAATATTAACCGATATAAGCCTAAGTCGTAAGTGAAGTGAAATTTTTACTAAGCCTAATAAAATTAATATTAACCGATATAAGCCTAAGTCGCTAGTGAACTGAAACTTTTACTCAGAAATATTGCTGAGACGCTTTTTAGTAATTGATAATTGATTATTGTTGTTTTTCATAGTTTTTCGCTGTTTGTGTGGTGGTTGCTGTTGTTCAGTCGTTCGCCGGTGATGTTGATGTTATCCACCATCAAACTTACAATGGTATTAATGGCATAAGCATCCGATACTTTCGTCGCTACAACTCTGGTTACGGACAAGGAGGCTATGGTTTCCATGAATATGATGGTAATGTTCAACCTCATTATGGTGTTAATGGTTACGGAGGCTACGATCACCTTAGACACGATATATATAATAACCCAGACGATCGTTACTCTGGATACGGAAATTATGATCACCCAGGATACGGTGGCCAAGTTTACCCAGTTCATCATGTCGCTGGTGGTTATGATTATCCATTTTATTATGGTAATGCACACGATGGTTACGGATATTAGTCTTATTGCTATGATCAAAATTCACCTTTAGCTAAATGGTGATAATCTGATAAACTGTATGTTACATGTTACACTTATGTATCATGTTTTTGTAATGTTCAGTATAAATTCTTTATTATCTGAAGATAACCAAAGATATCAATACTTATTGTTTCATGTAACTGAGACACTTTTATTATACGAATGAAAAACACTTAATATACGCTTCTAGCTATCACAACTGTGTTTAAATACATGCTCTAATTTCAACTTATTTAAGAATAATATAAAATGAATTGCATTGTTTGAAATTGATCTTCATTTATAATTTAACTCACCTACTTAGCATTTTATATTAGTAGTAAATTAAAAACATTATAGGAATACTCCTGCATATTAATAAAACTTTTTGAGTTTATTAAAGATTCATGAGTTGTGATAAGACGAAAATGCTGCATGTTCATTAAATCAACATTAATATTCAAAAGAAATTGACAAAGGTTTGAACAAATAATATCCTATCATTGTTCTCACGTTTGATAAACAAACTGGTTCTCCTATAGTTTGATAATCAGTTTCTGGTTTAAAGAGAAGGAGACTTACTTAAGTCGTGAACTGCCTTCCGACAAATCCTCTAAGATGTGTTGCTGTAAGTCAACATTTAATTGTGTTTTAAAATATTAGTTCAAACTTCGCAATGCTTTTCTGAAAACCTTTATTAGTAACTGTTAAGATAACTAATTGTTTACAAATATACCTGTCCTTTATGTTCAAAACGCTAAAATGGCTCCACCACTAAATGTCTTTGACAAAGAAGTATCGAGTATTGAGCATTCTTATCTTAGAACAAGTCACGATATTATTTTTCTGCTTCCACTGGGCAAAGTCTACTAATAAAGAACCAAGTCATTGCAATCAATACTTTATGATTAGCTACTTACGTGAAGGAGCTCTCTTGCAACATTTAATTGGGGTTTTATAAAAACATTCGTTAAAAATATATCAAAGAGATGAAAGTAAAGATCTCAACAAATACGACCAGACGTTCATAAAACATCTACCGTTCAATAAGTCAAAAGGAAATATATTTCATTACCGCATTGGTCCAATTAGAAATATTAGAATCATATATAGACGTTACTCTTTCAATGGGAAAAGGGTCTGAAAAACGTACTTCTTGAAATTACTAGGGACGTGAGATTTTAAATATTGTATTAATCTTACTAAATTAAACAACGATCTTTTCCATGAAATCCATTTAACGAAATAAACGCTACATAACACACGGGGCTTCTAAAACATTTGATGACTTTCATCTATTTCTCGGTAATTGTTAATTAATTATTGCTTAATTATAGTGAAACACTAACAGATGTATTTTGGACTTTAGTGAAACGATTTTATCAATCGTGATATGACCAATGCGATGTACTTGTTATCATGAATTTTTCTATAGTGTACTTCATTGTAAAATAAAGAACTAACAAACTGTTTTCTGAGCATATAAGGTTGCTATGTAAGAACATCATACAGCTGTTTAAACAATGCCTACACGTGTAAATAAATTTTCATTATATCTTCTACCGGCTTCCAAGAAATGTATTATACGTTTACAAAAACGAAATACAAATACGTAGAATATGCTATTATATGTGTGTGTGTATAGGAGAAAATGTGTTTGTTTCTTTCATGTAAACACACATGTATATATATAAACTCTTACCAACTTAGATATGAGAACATCAGATCCCTAGATAATCCTTCTCAATATATAAAACAGATGGTGAAATTACAAACTACGGCTACTAATTTATAAATTTTATTTTCGAATAGATTATTAACAACAAATACGGTTTTAAATTATTTTTATAAAGACCTGAATTACAAGTATATATTAGAACTTATAGTAAATTTTAAAAGTTTCATTGAATCTTTATAAATTACTTGGACAAAATATTATTATTTTGCATATATCTTAGTACACACACACACATACATATTTTTTTAAATTATTACATATATTTTCGCAATTATTCTTTTTTAATATTAAATATCAGTATATGAAATATTTAGTAATTAATATTGTAAGAATGTGAGAACTCCAACATTTTGCTCCAGTTTGTTTATTAATATTTTATGGCCAAATATGCTTCGCATAACACAAATTATTACTTAGTTTTCTAAGGTAGTTACGATTTGAGTTGCAGGCAGAAAATATGAAGTATTTAGTCACATAAAAACAAAGAAAATATTTAGTAAACTCAAAATTAAAACTAGAAAAGGTTTGTTTGTTTTGAATTTCGCGCAAAGCTACACGAGGGCTATCTGCGCTAGCCGTCCCTAATTTAGCAGTGTAAGACTAGAGGGAAGGCAGCTAGTCATCACCACCCACCGCCAACTCTTGGGCTACTCTTTTACCAACGAATAGTGGGATTGACCGTCACATTATAACGCCCCCACGGCTGAAAGATTGAGCATGTTTGGGACCCATAGATTGCGAGACGAGCACCCTAACCACCTGGCCATGCTGGGCCAACTAGAAAAGGAAAAATATGTAACGTTAAAAGACATATTAATATATTGTGTCCAGTAGTGTTCATTCTACATGGATTATACACCGATAAAACTGTTGGTGAATAATAATAAATCATAGTAACCATCTTTTATACTACATTGAAAATACATAGCACATACTTCTGCAATAGTATATATATCGAAAAAAATTAAAATAATAGAAAAATAAACAAGACGACGGAAAGAAACGAAAGAAATTTGTTTGTAATTAAGCACAATGGGCTACCTGTGCTCTGCCCACCACGGGCATCGAAACTCGGATTGTAAGTCCGCAGACATACCGCTTTGCCACTGGGGGGGGGGAAACTAAAGGACTGGCTAGTTAAAACATTTCAAATCATCTTCCGAATTTTGGAAAATAAATGATTTTGCTTACATTAAAAATAAAATTCGATCATGAATGACTTCCTATACTAACCTTCAGGTCACCATGGTAATTAAATATCGAAAAAAATCAAATAAATGATGTTATTGTTGGATAGACGAAACAATTGTTTCGCTACTTTAGTTAAATATGATTTGTCGTGACGTAATGAATTTGATAATGACGTGAGTGCAACTTTTATTTGACGTCATAATAAAGCAAAAAAATAGTATGACTATCACAATAACGTTACTCATATACAGTCGGCATCATTTTTACTTCATTATGACAATAAAAGAAGCCATACGACGTCATTATGATAACCAACATTATTATTATAGTTACTCAGATGCCTTATGTATATTTCATTATTTTTGCATCATTTACAACTTGATACTAATTCACATATAATAAATCCGTTGTAATTTCTGCATTAACTTTTAAAAGAGTTGTCAAGTTAAAAAACCTTGTAAATAGTTTAAGTATTTTCTAATCACTTCTTATATTGGTAAAACCCAAATCAATTACACTGTAAGAATTATAAGTAGCCTTAACCCTGCGAACCAGCTTAGAAGTTGTACATAGAATAGTAAGTGAAACTAAATTCCTCAAATGTTGCGATTTTTATGTGAACAATTAAACAAATCACATACTACAAAACCTCGAATCAAACGATAAGATGCGGTACATGAAAATATGGTACTTTTAAAGTAAGGGAGTGTTTGCGTTGTAAATATACTTTAACAAGATTAAACTTATACTGAGATTTCGTTTCGTTAGGATTTATAATCGTCCTCGAAAAAACTTTCGACCGATATAGCCTAACTCATAACTCACTGGAAAGGCTAGAGTGTAACGGCGACAGCTCAGGTAGGAGAGTGAAAACATGTGAATTTCCATAGACTCCGTAACTACGGAGGCCGTGGTTTATTTTCTGACTATAAGTAAACTGACGACCTGTGAAGATATCTCGGAGTTCTTGTGCAGGAGACGTAGGAGCAGATGTCTCTAGTGCTGATGATTGCGTCATGACGTCATCAGGTACGTAGAGAACTGTCTGTTGAGTGTACACCCAGGCCGTTTCGAGTTTGTCAATACAAAGTATCGTCAACAGCGAAAGCAACTGCAACAGTAAAATGGAGGAAAGTAAAGGATGAAATATCCATCTCTGAACATTATACACTTTGTATTAATTCTAAGTAAGTAATATAAGATAGTTAGATAGCCAAGATAGTTCTATACGACTGGTGGACAGTTGAAAGGCGTAAAAAATTCAAAGAATATATACAGATATATAATTCTTAAAATGATAGAAAAAATTGATTATTATTTCATAATTGTTATATTTATCTTTAATTTATCTATTGAAGCTCGAAAAATGGCATTTCAGATCTATATTGTATTTCCCACAAGTAATTCTCCAATAAGCTTTTCGTTCAATACCAGAACTCATCATTTGGGCTGGACGATGGAGACAAAATATTCCATGAATTCATTTTTTAAAATATTCAAATTTAATAACCACAATTTAGTACGTCTTCATACTGAAAACCGAATATTTGTCAGAGTAATGTTATTTAGTGAACCAAGTGGATATTTGCTGATATTCAGTTCTGATTTTTAAATTTGATGTTTCTATCATATTCAACCCGAGTAACAAAAATTCTAAGTTCTATTAATGTCATATTAGCTTATAATTAAAGATAGTAAACAGATAGTTTATGATGCTCTTATTTAATGAGAGGAAACATGACATTTTAGGATAATTAAATATGATAGTGAACTTTGACTGACGTTACAATAGCCAATATTTCTTGATATTTAGGCTTGATGTCAGAAAACTATATTTTGTTAAAATTTTAGTCTTTTTATACTTTTATTATTATCAGTAAAGAAGATAAATATGTGTAATTAAATATAATAAAACAGAAAGAATTCGTTATTAGAAGATAAGACAAGTAATAGCGTTAGAAGTAATCAAGTTATCATTTTAAAACATGTTCGTACCAATGTATTTTAATATTTTCAGAGATTCCTTTGTAAATTACCATTAAGATTATTTTTAAACTAATAAATATACAATATTTTGCTGGTTTGTAAGTAAGATCTTATATTTCACCTCCATGTTTCATCACAATCAAAATCTATTCCAAGTAGATCATAATATTCTAGTAAAAGTTTACTCTTTAGTGACTTACGATTCAAATACAATAAAAAAGTCTCTTTGCTTTAACAAGCTGATGTTCTGTTAAAACACGCTCACCACATCAGGTACAAAATAGTCCACCAGATGGTACTGTTATTGCGTTTAAGCTATGTGTTGGCGGTCACAGTGGAGAC